CCAATGGTCACAGAAAATCATAAAAATGCAGAAAAAAACCACACAAGCTCCCAGATTCTTGCAAACCCCTCCCCAACACCAAGTCCTTGAATTCTAAACACCCCAACCCAAAATCCCAAAACCCAAAAAAGTTTTAAAAGTTCAACTTACCAAACAGCTGTAGAAGAAGTTTTGGAAAAGCTTCAAAATCCAGCAAACTCTTTAAAAAGCTCAGAAAGGCCACCACACCGCGTGCAATGTGTTGCTCCTCGAGGTCAAGTCGCAACTGCACCTCTTCAAGCAATGCACCCTGGGTTTTAACGGTTTTACGAAAAAGGAAACAAACTTGCAAGACGTTTTCGTCTTGCGAAGCAAGCCCATAGGGACATACGTCTTGCGAAGCAACCTCGAAACGAAAAACCTTTCGTCTTGCGAGTTTTTCGTCTTGCGAGGCGTTCGTCTTGCGGGGCACCACTGTACTAGAAGTCTAGAAGGGCCCCTTCTGTGGGAGCTGTGGGCTTTGGCTATCTGTTGGAATTTCAAGCTGTGTCTCTCTCCATCAAAGCTTAAGCTGTATATTCGTTCACATACGCAAATATCACAAAGAGACAATAAGCCTCCAGTAATCTCCGTCCACAGAAACCTAACTTCATCTGGTGACAATTCCTGGAATTTTTCACTGCTTGTGGTGCTTGTGGTATTGTGCAAACAATATTCTGTGTTTGTAAAACTGCTCTGTTAACACTGCAATTTTGTGACTGCTTTACTAGCAAGGAAAGTGCGCACACACACCCCCTACATCCTTCTCCTTAAGAACAAAGAGGGAGAACCAAACAGAGGAGATCAAAGGTGGAGTAGATAACAGCCAGGACAGATGGGAGGAGCGACACTGGCCGTTTTCAAAATGGAAAGAAGGAATGGGGTCCTGTCTGATGTTTGGATCATAAACCCTTCCCAGCAGCCTTTTGAAAGGGGACTGAAAGAACTCAAGAATGCCCACCAAAGCCAAGACTGTACTTGGATTCCTCTGATCTCACCTGAGAATCAAATTCAAGAAGGATGCTGACAAACTGAAAAGGATGCTAAGAAGATGATAAGGGATCTACAAAGCTAAATCCAATGAGAAAGGGCTAAGAAGCTGGATAAGATTGTCCTTCAGACTGAAACTCAGCTGTCAGAGAATATGAGTTTTTTTGCTTCTTCTTTTAAACACAGCGGAAGAAGACTTCAAAAGACATGGAAGTACTTGCTTCAGCCTCGCAAACCGAAGAGGGGATGAGGGCTAACCCTCCCCACTTAAGATGCAGGACAAGGCTGTAGAAATATACAATTCTTCTCAAAATATCTAATAGGAAAAAAAATATCCAAAATAAGGGGAACACACACACACACACAGCCATAGGGCTTCTTTGGCTGTAATCATGCTGGAGACTGCCAGCATAAGAGAACAAGGGAGACGTTCATGGTGAGTTCTGGCACCGCTTTTTTTTTTAGAAAAACAGCACTGCATGGCACCCATTCTAAATATGTCCTCTGGCATAAAAGGTGTGGCAACTGATGCTCTATGCTAATCTCTTACAAACAATAGTAAAACTTGAAAGCCATTCATTTACAGAGCAAGGTGGCTTTTGTCAGTTATCCTTGTGATTACGCAGAAGAAGTAAGAAGATAATAAAGGCCTGGAGTTATTCTCTCCCCCACATTTCCCCTCCACTACAGAACTGCCAATATTCCTTCCAAGAGAAATAAGGAGATAGACATACACACTCATTGCAGACATCCTTCGATAGTTCAAAAGCAACTCTCGCTGCAAGATGCTCACACAAGAGAATTATCTATTTCCTTGTCGACAAACTCATTCCTTCCGCCCCCATGAAGCATGGTCAGCTACTCCTTCCCATGCCTCAGTATCCTCAATTTAATAAGAAGTCCACATAACATCTTCAAAAGGTATGGCATCCCTGGGGGAATTAAAATTCATCCCCTTGCTGACAACACAAGAGGCAGCAGGTTTAATCAAGACTGGGGATTTCTGGGTCACTACAACTAGCTCTGGAACTCAACATGTAAATGCAAAATGCTTTGCAAAATGTCCATTAGCTGCAAAGTCAACATTTTCAGCCATGCACCTGTAATGTAGCTGGGCAAACATCCCATTATCAATGGAATAGATGTTTTCCGCTTTGTAAATTGGCCTATTATCAGCACAGTAAAGAGGTTCAGTCACTGCTCACTCAATAATTCTGCTGCGTTTCCAGTCAGCCCCTAAGAACTATGTCTGAGGACTTCATGGGGGACTCATATAGTCAGGTGCATAGAACAAATCTGTGGGGGGAAAGAAGGCAAGAAAAGGAAATAAAGGACCCTTACTAGTGACCAGAGCTGTATCAAAGTATAACATATTGGTTAGGTTTTTATTGAAGTGGCTATAAGAGAACTGCACTGACATCATTGTCAATATGTGCTTGTAATGCCCTGCCAGTTGGAAGTTGCAACACTGGAGACATTAGCAGGCTCACATGCTGCGTTGTTCAAAACAAAACAGAAACCAAACATAATAATTTATCCTAGAAAATGGTGGAGCAAATCAGAGCATTCCATGGCAGACTTCAGGGCACTGGAAAACCCCAACTTCATGCACTAATGTAAACTTAATCATTATCTCTGACATTCCTATCCTAAAACATAGTTTAGCATTACGCAAAGTTTGGAAGCTTTTGCTTCCACTTTTTATTCGCCTCACCTTGCCATGTAATTTAAACAAGCTGGACAAAATGTGGTTGATCTTAATGATGGTTGGCGGAAACAAGCCAATTTCAAATCACAATTTGCAAAGCTTTTCTGCTTTACATTAACCATAGCTAAGATAAACTTCAGTTTATCTCTTCCAAAGGAAGATTTCCTTTTCTCTGTTTTTATACTTGCATCAAATAATTTTTTTTAAAAAAAAATTGTAATGCATGTGTATTAAAATTATTCATTGAAAGTTTTGTCAGAAATTGGTGCAGGGCCTAAGCAAATTCATTGCTCACTATTAGGTTTTACAGCAGCAAAAAGTGGCTTGTTAATCTTTCCAATTTTCCTTTCACCAAAGTCAGCAGTTGAACCATAGGTTCCAGCAGGTTGATGCTCAGTGAAAAGAGGGCAACTTTGTTCCTAGACATTTCAGGAAGGAAACCTCACATGAACATGTTGCAAATTGGCCAAGATTCAAGTTAATGGAGGATATCAAATACAGGTCTCCAACCTTGCAGCAACAGGCCAGAGGACACTCAGCTGACCTAGTTTTCAATTCTGTGCCTGGCAGCTTCCTCTTGGGTACAAAATTATATTTGTGGTAAATTTGCTGCGCCTCCCTGCTGATGCTTTTAGGCACTCAAAGCCAGCTCAGAGGCTGCTGGATGTTATAGAAGTGACTAAGGAGTTAATTTTTCTCAAGACGAAGTGATGGAACTAGAATCTGGGACCCAGAAACAGCATGTTCAATTAAGCAGACTCAACCCCCACCCCTCCAGAGAATTCTGTGGTGCTGTCCGCTAAAGCAGGCACAAACACACTGGCATGCTTCTAGAGTTGCTGGTTCGAATCCCCACCCCTTTCAGGACAAAACATGAGGGAAGGGTTGTAGTGGAGTAGCAGAGCACATTCTTTGCATGCAAAATGTCCAGGCAGGACTGGAAAGGCCTTCTGCCTGACACCTTGGAGAGCAGTTGCCAGCAGTAGCCAGATGTCAGGGACCGCCTGGATGAAGAGGAGTGGTGGGAGGGCAAAGAACATCCTAAGGAAGCAGCAGTGGTGGAAGACTCATAGCCAGGATCAGGGTGCACTGGCGGAGGAAGAGGGGTGCGGGGGGAGCACACCGCCCCCCACAGTGCGATCCCGGTGGGGTGCCATTGCGGCTCCCCCCCTGCGCGCTGGGCACCATGGCCCCACAGACGGCATGCTACACCCACAGGACACACGTCACATCCCTGCGGGCAGCACACCACGCCCCCAGGATGCACACCTGTCTGCTCTCCGCTCCCCGGTGCCGGTGCATGAAGGTCCGCCACTGTCAGGGTGGTGGGATTCTGAAGACAGGTCAGAGGAGGAGGAAGGCTGGGAGGCGGAAGAGGTGACAGGCTCAAAGGAAAGAGAAGAGCCAGAGGCAGAAAGCCCTTCTAGGGCAGCACAGAGTGCAGAGGGAGACCTGAAAGAGAGGAGATGGGGACAGAAGCTGCAACAGCTTTGCAGCAGCTGCCTAGTCCCACTGTAGTAAGCTGCCCTCTCCATTTGACTCCAAGGTCCCACAGGACTTTGCATGTAGCTGAACAGAAAGCTCAAGATGCCTATGGGGGGGTTCTCCCCACCAGAGTTTATTCCAGCTTGGGATATATCTGGAGGAGGAGGAAGCAGGGGGCCCCAAGGGCAAGTCTTGGCAATGTCACAACTGAGTGCAGCCATGCCTGTGCACTCGCTGCTTGTATACTATTTTCTTGAATGAAACACTGGCTTTCCTTTGAGTCTCTGAGGCTCCATTCTGCCCTGCCTTGACATCAGAGGGCACAATTTCATTAAGTGCCCACCCTGCATATCCAGCAGTAATACGAGCATTGGCTGTGCAGCAAGTATGATTTCTGGAGTGGCGGGGGGCACCTCCCACTTGCCCAACTCATATATTTCTGGAAGAAGCAATGTGTAAGTGAGAACTACAGCAAAATGTGGTGGTGTGGAGGAGCGCTCATGTTCAGAATTCCAGGCCAATAGCCATGCTCTTTTTCGGGACATTCCATTCCACCATCACCACTACCAGTTTTCCATTGCCTTCCCCCAAGGTGCATCATTCAATGCCTACCAAGCATGCTTGGTTCTCATCCAGCTGTTCTGGTCCGTCCCCACCCCACCCCACTGGGACTCCCCGAACTCAAATATTTTCTGTGTGGTATGTCTCCAAACCATGGTAGTCCTCATAGCCTGCTGCTATGGATGTATCACGGATGGTGCCATTTTGATTACATAAGGGGTGCATTCAGACGTAGCAATCTAGGATAGCTCAGTTGGTAGAGCATGAGACTCAGAGTTGTGGGTTCAAGCCCCATATTCAGCAAAAGATTCCTGCATTGCAGGGGGTTGGACTAGATAGCCCTTGTAGTATCTTCCAACTCTACAATTTTGTGATTCATATATGCCAATAAAGGTTTGAGAATGCGAGATTCCATGAGTCTATTATTACTGTGATAGTTTTCCTGAATATACTGCTAGTGCTCCTATCCCAAATTCTAACTTTCCTTCCAGAATGTAGTTCCTGTTGAATGATGGAACTTTGACTTTTCAGTTGATATACTGTGCCATCATATCACACTAAATTTTAATTCGTGGGAAGGAACTGTGTGCTGGAACACTGTACCAAATTTCAGCACGTGAAAATACAGTGCAAATATATATATACTGTATGCGGTTTTGTGGGTTAATGGGCTTGCATGCTATTTTTGTGTCTTCTGGGAGCAAATAACACAGAAATAAGTATTTAACCTCCTGCTAGATTCAGCTTGTTCTCCAGAAGTGTTTGTGTGAAAGAACACATAAAACGTGGAAATTATTATATAAGGAAATGTTGAGGAAATATTGAGTCTTTTAATATAAAGGATATATGACTATCACCATAAAATTCCCATTATTCTTCCCTAGCAAGTAAGCTGACGTGCTAAAATATTAACTGAAACTTCACATAGTTTAGGGCAGGCATCGGGCAGGGCTTTTCCAGTCAGGGTTCACATACCCTTCTGGCATGCTGGTGGTGGACAGTGCCAGAAGCAAAAGTGGGCAGTGCAGCCCACCTCAGTCATCCCCCCAAAGGCCTTAACTTCCGGAGGGGCCTGCACAACAGATGACAACAGCAAACACAATTCCAACAGCTTTTCCGTACTGCAATATGGAGAAGAGTCAGCCAGACAATATTATTTTTGCATTCGCTTGGTGAGACTAATGCTGACAGACAACCCATCATCTCCCCCTGATCTGTTAGCGTATTTTACTGTCTTGTTAAATCTCACAGATGTGTTTGCATGTCACTGTTAACAGAGGTTTCCTTCAGGTTCCGATGGGTTGAGGAAGAGTTTTGAGTTTTCACCCTGGCAGGTGGTTGAGGTTATTATATAACCTTGTGAGCCACAGAAGGTTGCTGAGAGGGTTTATGGTTTACCCTACAACGTTGTTCTTAGCTTCCCCTCAAAAACAGGAAAATAACACCAGTCCTTAACACACCCACACCCACACACCAATTTTTTTCAGTAATGACCCCCCTCCCATCCCTAACAATAGCTTTAACTACCTATTTAGCAGCAAACAGTAACTATAACATATAAGTGAACCACTTACAACCCCTCCTGCAAACAAGAAGAATTCAGATAAAGGACAAGAAGGGGAAGCAGGGAGCAGCTGGAGGGGGGGGGGGAGAAGTTAGATGTGTTGGAACATAAGAAGTTGGTAAAAGACTCTGCCAATCTAGCAGTTCAAAAGCACGCAGTGCAAGTAGATAAATAGGTACCGCTCCAGTGGGAAGGTAAACGGCGTTTCTGTGTGCTGCTCTGGTTTGCCAGAAGCGGCTTAGTCATGCTGGCCACATGACCCGGAAGCTGTACGCCGGCTCCCTCAGCTAATAAAGCGAGATGAGTGCCGCAACCCCAGAGTCATCCGCAACTGGACCTAACGGTCAGGGGTCCCTTTACCATTTACCCTTAGAAGACTCTGCAAAAATCCATAGCTGGGCAATATATGGATTCTTTCCCTCAAATAATTCTGGACACTGCAGTTCGCCCTTCATAGAGTTTCAAATCCTAGCAACACTTAACAAGCAATAGTGCTCAGATTTTTTTTTTGAGGGAAATAATGTGCTTTAAAGGTTTACAGTGGTACCTCAGGTTAAGAACTTAATTCGTTCTGGAGATCCGTTCTTAACCTGAAACTATTTTTAACCTGAAGCAGCACTTTAGCTAATGGGGCCTCCAGCTGCCACCACACCACCACCGCATGATTTCTGTTCTCATGCTGAAGCAAAGTTCTTAACCCGAGGTACTATTTCTGGGTTAGCGGAGTCTGTAACCTGAAGCGTCTGTAACCCGAGGTACCACTTTAGTGTGTATGCAGACTTTTCTAACACCAGCTAAAGGCAGACACCATAGCTTCTCTATCAAGCCAGCTTTTTCTCCCTCCCCCGCCTCCTCCCTCTCCTCTTCTTTGCTCTGATGAAGTGTTGTGGAGGACTCAGTTTCTTGCTTAGCATTTTGTGACATTTTGATTGGCTCTGAGTTAGGTCATGACTCATATTTAGGAGGGGGGGGGGATAGGGCATTCAGAAGTGGAACAAATGGAGGGGGCAGATGGCAGGAGGTGCCCCTCACTTTGAGTACCAATCGGTCAAGTGCTAGCTTTGTGTGACAACATTTGCTATGCTGGGACCCTACAGAGTTCGATAGTGGCCCACCATAAGATATTATGATAAGCAGCCATATCCTGGATGACATAGCAGCACCCACACAGCTTTCTTAATTACTTATATCTTCATTATTAAAGGCACCCTTGCCCACCTGGAGATTTAAGCCCTCCACCTGCCACCTGAAGGTAGCCAAGCAGACCTCAAGACTTAATTTACAGAGCCTCCAAGTGTCCCTATTTTGCAGGGACGTCCATGATTTAGAGAAGCTGTCCCTGTTTCTGATTTGATCCCAGAATGTCTCGCTTTTCCTTAGGATGTCCCTATTTTCATGGGAGAAATGTTGGAGGGTATGGAGTTATCCGACCCCCGAGCCATCTGAAGGCAATCCTGCATAGTAGTGGTGTCCAAACTTTTTCAAAAAGGGCCAGATTTGATTAAGTGAAGGGCCGGGAAGGCTGACCAAATGGCCAACTAAAGTTGTTAACCTTTTAACCTTTTTTTAGGATTGAAGTAGTTGAGGTTTAGGATTTTACCCCAGGAAATAAACTGCCACAGGGGTCGGATTAAACCAACCGGCGGGCCAGATTAGGCCCCTGAAACGGACTTTGGACATGCCTGCTCTAGGTTGCTCTTTTTGTCCCAGCCAGGCAGAGAATAGGCAGGCAGCAAGGAGTACATCTTTGTAATAAGAAGCAAAACATGAAAATTAAGTGAAGAATTAACATCGGAATAGTTTATTGACTAATTAAGAAATGCAATGTGATATTAGATTATTAGCACTCTGCGAAATTCAGAGCTTGGGAAGCCACCCAAAGATATAGAATTTGGCATTTATATTTGGCTTTCTTATTGTGTTGTAATTTGGAATGTTTTAATGTGGTTCTTTTTGGATTATTAAAATGGAAAACTTAATAAATATTATATACAAAAATAAATAAATAAAATAAATACTCAATGACCTGCCTTTCAAATAAGCAGAAATGAAGCAGCTGGTTGCCATGGTGAAATTGTGATGACACTGTCACTCTGTAGTGGCAGTGATGAAGTCATAAGTCAGATCAAGGGGGAATTTTCCTCCAAGACCCTGCCTACCAGTTAACAGTGACATGAAATGGTGCACACGCTATATCTTGTTCATGTGCTTAGTTCATAACTTTTCTCTTAAATAAATAATGATATTTTATTACTTATCCCCAGCTACTATGGGCGGCTTCCAGCAAAATATAAAAAATAATGTCAAACATAAAAAACTACCTGATACAGGCTGCCTTCAGGTATCTTCTAAAAGTTCTGTGGTTCTTTATCTCCTTGACATCTGATGAGGGGGGAGCATTCCACAAGGAGAGCGCTGCCACTGAGGAGGCCCTCTGCCTGGTTCCATGTAAACTCACTTCTCGCAGTGAGGGAACTGCCAGAAGGCCCTCGGAGCTGGACCTCAGTGTCTGGGCAGAACGATGGGGGTGGAGACGCTCCTTCAGGTATACTGGGCCGAGGCCGTTTAGGGCTTCAAAGGTCAGCACCAACACTTTGAATTGTGCTTGGCAATATACTGGGAGCCTTTAGGACTGGTGCTATATGGTCTCGGCGGCTGCTCCCAGTCACCGGTCTAGCTGCTGCATTCTGGATTAGTTGTAGTTTCCAAATCACCTTCAAAGGTAGCTCCACGTAGAGCGCATGGCAGTAGTCCAAGCAGGAGATAACGCTTGTCATCCTAAGAGCTGTGCTTCTTCCAGTTCTATGTGGTGAATGCGGACTATGGCAAGCTGAAAAAGGAACACCCAGATTTCTGAAGAGCAAATGTTCCCCCTCTACAAGCTGCACAAGATGAAGTGGTTTAGATCTTCCAGAAGCCATCCGCACAACTCATATGCTTAAATCATCCAGGAAATCTTAAAATTGATTGCACAATTTGCTTAAAGTCAAAGAGTTCAAGAGAAGCAGAGAAGGGGATGCTGGATACTGACTGCTGGATACCCCATGCCGCTTCCATTGGAAAAGGGGCATGGTTTAAGTAGCCCGGTCGCCCCGCCCCTTCCCATTGTGCCCTGCCCCTTTCCCTGCAAGGGTTCAGGTGAGTGCAAATCGCCTTGGGGTGCAGCAATCTTTGGGGGAGGGGAGGATGCAATGCCAGTGGGATGATGGAGGGGGAGATAGCAGGCAGAGAAGCTGCTGGGTAGGTGGGGGAGGGAGAGCGACCCTCCCCCCCCCCAAAAAATGAAGGGAGGTGGGATTATCAAATAAGGGAGGTTTTTAACTTAGATAAAAAGATAGGTTTCCAGGAGGAAAAATCTAAACTGGAAACGGAATTGTTAGAACCTAAAACCAAAAATTTGTCAAGAATGTATAATCTGCTGTTGAAATGGAATACACAGGATGAAATGGTTAAATCTGCTATGATTAAATGGGCGCAAGATGTGGGGCATAATATTATGTTTGCTGACTGGGAACGGTTATGGACCACAGGTATGAAATTTACGGCCTGTAACGCCTTAGAGACAACTTAATGTCAATGATTTACAGGTGGTACTTAACCCCAGTCAAGCTAGCAAAAATTTATCATCTGCCTGATAATAAATGTTGGAAATGTAAAGAAAATGAAGGTACGTTTTTTCACCTTTGGTGGACGTGCCCAAAGATCAAGGCCTTCTGGGAAATGATATACAATGAATTAAAAAAGGTATTGAAATATACTTTCTTGAAGAAACCAGAGGCTTTCCTCTTGGGCATGGTCGGTCAACTGGTGCGAAGGAAGATAGGAATTTCTTTATGTATGCGACAGCAGCAGCAAGAATACTCATTGGGAAATACTGGAAGACACAAGAATTGCCTACCCGAGAAGAATGGCAGAGAAAAGTGATAGACTATATGGAACTGGCTGAGATGACCGGCAGAATACGAGACCAAGAAGAAGGGTCGATGGAAGAAGATTGGAAAAAATGTAAAACATATCTTCAGAAATACTGTAATATAAAAGAATGTTAGAAAAGGTTGGAGAAGAATATTAGACCGTATTGGCAGACAGAGTATAATGGAATAAGTAAATATGTAGTGTAAAATAAAAAATAGAGGAGAATTAAATATTTTTGAATGTTAAATTAAGTAAATGAAAAGAAGGTTAGAAGGGTTTGCTGGAGATACGACTCAAATTAGAATACAAAGCAGAGAAGTGAGAGGAAGTCACGGAAATAAGTAAATGGGAAAACGATCCTAATGGTTTAATTTGATTTTTTGTTATTTTTGTATTGTGATTTTTTGTCTTTTGTATTTTTTTCTGTATCGTGTGTTGTTCTTTTTCTGTAGGATGTATGTGATTTGTTTTTCTTTCTTTTTTTGCTTTTTTCTTTCTATGTAATCTTAAAATTGGAATAAATATTCTTTAAAAAAAAAAATGAAGGGAGGTGGAAACAGGAAGAAAGACTTTGTATCTCATGCCATTTTGAAACGTCTTAACTTGAAATGCCAATAAAGGTATTTGTATTGTATTGTATTATGATTAACATGGGAAGTGGAATGGTAAAATGTTAATGAGGCGGACGCGATACTTCTGTAAACTGGCATGCCCCTTCTTGTGGGCGTGGAAGAAGGGACTTGCGGGTGGACAAGCGACTTTATAAAATGTGTTTTTTCTGATGAAGCTGTGCCTGATCTTGGTTTACCCCACTTGCAAGTGTGTATAATAAAAAGGTTTCCTAATTCACCCATTTTGTCCAGATCACTTTATGTAAAAGGATCCAGAGACCTTAAGACAAAGGAACCAGTTTATTTATCTCTCACAAAGGGCAAAATAAATAAATAATACCAATCCCTCAACTGCCAAAACAAACAGTCTTGCAGCACTGTAAAAACTAACAGATTTTGGGAAAACTTTTAAAAAATGGGTCAGGGGGCCTTGGTGGGTGCTAAGGAGGGTTTCTGAGGGTGCCATGGAGTCCACATGCCACACGTGTCATAAGGGGGGAGGGGCTCCTCAGTCATCATTTCTTTATTAACAAGTGCTGCCCCCACCCTTGAGGCCTAGTTTCCCCAGCCCTGTCTATGTATGGTCTCCTGTGATGTCACAAACAGACATAGCAACTGAGGAGAAAGAAGCAGTTTCTTATTCTAGAATTTCAAACACAGAAGGGCAGGAGGGGGACATTTTTCAGCCCAGTGGTTGCATTTCCCTCCACACAACACTAGTCAAATGTACAAATGAACAGAGCAATGAAAGCAAGCCTTATCTTTGCACAGGAAGGTGTTCAAGGAATGACATGCAGAGAGAAAGCACCAAACCCAATTAAACCTATTAAGAAATAGGTTGTCCAACCCCCTGAAATTCAGGAAACTCAGCTGAAATTTATGAAACGCTTGTATTTCTGCATGTGTTTATAGAATCCATATTGCTATTCGGAATACTCTAAATGGGGGTGGGGACCTCAGCTGCACACCCACCTCCCTTCATTTTTTGGGGGGGTCTCCCTCCCCCACCTGCCCAGGAGCTTCCCTGGCTGCTATCTCCCCATCCATCATCCCACTAGCATTGCACCCTCCACTAGCCCCCCCCCCCCAAGATTGCTGCGCCCCAAGGCATTTTGCACTCGCCTGAACCCTTGCAGGGTAAGGGGCAGGGCACAATGGGAAGGGATGGGGTGATCGGGCTGCTTAAACCACACCCCTTTTCTAATGGAAGTGGCATGGGGGGTCAGTATCTAGCACCCCCTTCTCTGCTTCTCTTGAACTCTTTGACTTTAATAGGGAAGTTTTATTACAAAAAAGTTTAATGTTTTATTATGTTTTTATATATGTTGGTGAAACCCAGTAAGATGTGTGGCGTATAAATAGTAAAATTATCCTTATGGGATGGGACGTTCCTATTTTCATCAGAGAAATGTTGGAGGGTATACATTTCAGACCCGGAGGCTTGGCAAACCTAGTTCCCTCAAAGACTTTTGTCTTCACCTGTGTATTGGGGAGGTGAGGAAAATGACAAAATGGCACAGCACTCCCAAGCGCAGAAGCAAACCTTTCTAATCTTGGGTGGCAAGTGAGCTGGGGAGGCCACCTTTCATGGGGACAAAGATCACAATTGAATCACACAGTTAGCTGGCCAGCCTGAAAGGAAGGCACAGAGAAAACCTCAAGACATTAACGATAACTAACCCCAACCCAGTGATCATTAATTTATTCCCTCAGATGCTCTCCCCGCTTCCCTGCCCCAACTGTGGGAAAGAAATGGCCTCATCTGCATGACAAAAGGAGTTTGTGTGTTTTGTGTTTGTGTGTAAGGGCATCCAAGCAAGAGGGGTAGAATTAAAATAGTGTGACATAAGCTCAGCTTTCATAATTGGCGAACTTGGCGTTGTTGGGGCCTGACAAGCTGGCAACGTGTGAGTAATTATCTCATTAACCTCAACCAAGCGAAGGCAGTGAAGGGGAATCAGGAGCACATTCCTCCTCCTTTAACTAAAGATTCCCTCCTTTTTCCCAGCAGGTTTTTGAAGGGCAAGTGGCTTGCAGGGTGTGCGAGAGAGGGAGAGGAAGACTGTTCAAGAACCCAAAAAGTCAAGGGACAGCTGACTACCTTTTCTGGTGTGTGTGCTGTTTTTTTTTTTTTTATAAGATATTTATTGAAATTTTCAAAGTGTTACCAAATAAAATAAAAGCAGTAGAAAATACAAAATAAAAGTAATTAACAAAGTAGAAAAAAAACAAAAAAACAAACCCCTTCCAACCGTATGCATGCAAATTCAAAAATAAGAAAAAGTGACAAAAAGAAAAAAAAACAAAAATACATCACACACACTTAAAAAACATTTAAAAACAAATTCATTATTCTCATATCCTCAACTGTCATTACCTTCTTTCTTTGACCTCCTCCTCCTCCCTTTCTTTGTATCCTAGTTATTAATTATCCCAGCAAATCCTTTCCATATTTCATAATATTCTGTCATTACATTACCCTAAACTGTTTTAATCTTATCTTTCTATAATAAAATAAACCTTAGAGCTTAAAACTTAAATCTTATCCTTACCAACTTCTCAAAACCATAATATTCTTTCATAATTCTTCAAACATCTTTACTAAAGCCAAGTAGTTTCACTCCAACATTTTTCTAACATTCATCAATTTTATAAAACAGTTCTAATGGTGAAAAAAAGAAATACAAACAAATCCAATCTTCATCCAACGTCCCTTCCTCCTGGTTCCGGGTTTTGTCAGTCCTTATTATCCCGTCGATCTAGCCCATTAACCTGGCAGCCTTATATCCAAGGCCCTCAAGTCTCTTCCATGTCCCTTCCGCAGCTCTTCTTCATATTTGTAACTGTATTTTCCCTTGTCTCCTGCTCGTGGTAACTCCAGCTTGGCAATATTTTTAACCCTTCTCGACAGATCAGCCCCTTTTCCATATTCAACACTGAATTCCATATGGTATTTAAAAGCATGTTTCAAAGACCCTCCGAAATTAAGAGCCCCCACAATCCCAAACAACCCACGGCCCATTGTCCGATTTGAAAAGTCCAAACATCCCAGCATAGGGGGGTCAATCCAGCCCCCCATTTCCAAGCCAAACCAAACTTTTCCCCTCCAAATCTGGCTCTCTCCAAGTTCACCCGTCAAATCCGAAAACTCATATTCCTGTTGGGCCTGTTCTGTCAGGACACACTCCTGATTTAATTCCTGAGTGGGCTCCACATATTTTCCCACTGTCTGTTCAAAATTTCCCACTGCCTGTTCAAAATTTCTAGTCGAAGTCGCCATCCAATTCACCTTTTCATGTAATTGTTCCAGTAGGGCATTTGTTTTATAGAAAGCACACAACAAAGCTTCTGAATACATTGTCCTGCAAGGTCGAATGCCTGTTCCCACGATTGTTATCTGTAACAGCTGCCGGCTCCCTGGAGTTGGTTACAGTTACACAGTCTCCCTCTAGGGGGAAAACTTCTATTTGTTCTTGCAACAAAGTTTCCCTTTTTGAAATACTTGGTCAATATTTATTGCTTAAAGATGCGAAGGGAAGCAGTGGAGTCGCTATGTTTCTCTTCTTTTAGCTATCTGTCAAAATGTTTGTCTCTGGTCAATGAACTTCAAACGTCAGTCCTGACACCCCGCTCCAGGATCAGGACGGAGGAAAGTTACTTTACTTTAAACTCACTTTAAACAGTCCAGAAAAGATCCCCCTCCTGCTGTCGAAGGGGGGGTTCCACAATTTTAAATGATGAAATCCAATCCTTTAAAGGCGATTTTCTAAGCTCTAGTTTACGTTGTCTTTGCTTTATTCTGTCTACAGAAGAACGGAAGGCTGACTTCCTGTTTAGACCTTCCCGTTCCGTACCAAATTAAAATAGGTTTTTAAAATCCAATTCCTTTCTGCTCGCAAGTCCTTATCTAATGTCCAGTTGTTCAAAGTCTAAGTACTCACGGGTGCTTATTTTAGAGTCCAAATTGTCCCAGGAAAAAGGCAGCGCTCTCCGGCAACGGCTGTGCGGCTTCGCTCCACGGAAATAGCAATTGACTCACAGCACCGCGCCACTTCCCCCTCTTCACTTTGGAGCCCGTTAGTGGGTTCCTTAGCGAGTTGGGGGGGTGCTAAAGGTGCCCGCCGAGTCCCATGGTCACAGGCTTCATCCGCCTGTGATTTTTAAAAGGGTCCCCACTTCGCCGTAGCGGAGAAGACCCGTTTACCGTGGAGCTAGTCCCTCCAGTTCAGAGGGAGTCCGCCATTGCTGGTGGCGCCACCCCGGAAGTCCTGGTGTGTGTGCTGTTTTGGGGTGGGGGGTGGGGAAGGCAAGAGGCCTCACAGGGAGCAACCCACAAGGGCAAGTTGGGAACCCGGTGACTTACTCTACCTCGTTGTTAAAACAGTAAATGGATATAACACTAGTAAAATAATGGTGAAAAACAGCAGTGTCTGCCTTATGGCTTTGTGTGCCTGCGTGTAAAATGATCCAACAGCATTAAACAGCTCTGGGGTTTACCGCATCTCATCTCCAGTTAGATTAGAATGACATATATGGGTCTTTTTTCCTCCTGTTTTTTCTTCACAACAACCCTGTGAGGGAGAGTAGGTTGAGAGTAACGGGTCACTCAGAAAGCTTGGTGGCTATTTCAGCTCGGTTTCCCCCGGTCTTTAGGTTATCTGCACATTATATGGCTTGAAACACAGTGAGGTTGCTTTTCCGTTGTGTGTTTCAAGTTCCATTTTTGTGTTTCCTGGGAGGGCAGAGTATGCGTGTCTTCAACTGATGCCCATTACTTGCATTGCTTCCCCATGCTGAACTGTAATTCACTGAAGCTGAGCATGTGCGATGGCTGATTTGAAATGTTACACATCTCATAGAATCATAGAATTGGAAGGGACACTGAAGACCATCTAATCCAACCCCCTGCAATGCAGGAATAGGCAGCTGTCCATTATGGGGAATCGAACCTGCAACCTTGGCGTTATCAGTACCATGCTCTAACCAACCGAGCTATCTGGCTTCTACTTTACCACAGCTTATATTATATTATCGTAGTGAATGGAAGCTGCTATGAAGGGAAACGCAACAAATAGCAGCATATCTCAAGAAGCCACATCTGGATGGTTGGCTAATGTCATGTGTATCTCACTGCAAACACCAGTGGTGGGAGCACACTGGAGTTAACAGTAATGTGTACACAACCACAGCTCAACACTCTTAATTGCTACACCATATTGGCTATAACGTAAGATTTGGTGCCATGCAAGCCTCTCTGAGGAGAACATATCAGAGCTGAAAAGCATATTACACTCAAAACGAGTCACCACTTGCTTCACCTGTGTGAATGTACCTTCCAGGGAAAAGCCTCTGGAGATCACCAGGTTGGACAGGTTTACGGATAGTAGGTTGTATCATTTGGGCATTGCAACACTGGGAAGCTGCCTTCGGCTTTAATAATCCACTATAAAAAACAGTGTGACATAGTGGTTAGAGTGCTGTGTTAAGTGTCTGGGAGACCAGGGTTTAAACCCCCCATTTAAACCCTAGCCCCTGGCCCAGATAAGCTCATGATTGGGGGAACCTGGTTTTGCCTCACTAACCAGCAACCTTCCTTTCCAAGTTTCTGAGACATTTGAGGGTTTGGCGTACCACAAATACATATGATTCACATTGTGGCTGTTAAATGTTCAGAAAAAGTCAGAAGCCCAAGGCAGTATAAGTTCCTCAACTAAGTTTATTCAACATTTGTCACTGACAACAGCTCACTCATAGGAACACAAGAACCAAACTGACTGGACAATGCAATAATGATGCCAAGCATGAACTGACCGTCAGTTGACAGTTGACAGTTGAAAGAGCATGCGCTTGCCATTAGAATGTTCATCTACCAACGTTTCTACGATTGGTTAGAACGCGCCTTGTAACATAAAATGTGTTAAACCCAATACATAACAGTGGCTACAGCTGCACACTAAGCATTCAGTTCGCATGCAAAGCTATGTGCATACCAGCCCCATAGCCTGCAAGTGTCTTGGAAAAAGCAGGATATCCAAGTTTTTTCCTTTGAGAGCACAGCAGCCATTTGGGACACCACGATTTTGCACCGAGATCTTTCCCACCCACCCCAAAAAAAGCACTTTTCAGAGCCGCAATATCATGGAGCACTCCAAAACAAATGTTTTTGGGCAATGTGAGAGCATGCCCCCCCACAAAGTGTGCCTTTTGGGCTCTATTATCTCACATGGGTCATGTGACTTGTGCAGGAGCACGGACAGAAAGACATGAGTCCCAGTTTTGGAATTCAACATGTTAGGAGGATATGCAACACCTGTATGGGTTCTCTGATGTAAAGTTGTACACATATGCATCAGTAAACACAAGGAGCCCCTTCACACACCAGCCGACTGTGTAGATCAGAGCTTTCAACACTCTTCATGTTGGTGACACACTTTTTAGACATGCGTCATTTTGTGACGCAGTAATTCAGTTTTACTAGCAAAACAGAGGTTAAACGAACCCCTTTACTGCCCCGGGAGGAGCGTGGGGAGTGTTTGCACGATGTAGCTACACACTGCAGCTGACACACTAATGTGTCGTGAAAGCTCTGCAGTAGATGGTGGTTGGTGTTGCCACTGCAAACACTGGTGACAAAGGTGATCCACCCCCCACAAAACCACCCACATTTTATTTCATTGTATGCTGAGCGGCCACTGGACTCCCCCACTGCAGTAAAATGTAGTGATGGCAACACCATTTGTGCCAGGTCAACTCCTTAGGACAGTTTCCCCTTCCTTGCCCCAGACAGCAGCCATCTTGGATCTAGTAAAATGGCTACCAATGCTTCAGGAACCTAAGCACTGTGTATGGCATCACCCCCACCCCACCCCACTTCCCCAAACACTCATTTAGAAAAACAGAACAAATCTAACCTTCTCTTTTCCATACTGGGCCCGGCATCATTAGCACACAGTGCAGTGTCCTGCAATAATTGAGTCATGCATTTTGTGTTATGAGTAATTCTTTTCCCAATTAAGAGAGCTGTGTGTTTTCAGCTTGTTATTGGGGGTAATTAGCACCTTTCCCTGACTTGGCTTAATTAACTTCTCATGCTTGCTTCCATGTTGAGTATTTTTTTGCTTCAGAGACAGGCAGTATTGGGGCTCCCTGCAGCATTTAATTACCTCTCTTACTGCTCTTCAGAACGGTCCGTTCAATAGTTGCCTTCCTCGGAATAGTCCTTGTTCCTTTTTATGTACTT